CTTCAATGGGGAACCATGAATAAATCCTTCTTGAGGAGACCAAGTATTTACGTTGCAAAATGAATGCACTCTCCATCTAGGTTTCACAGCCTAGAGAGATCCACAGGGTATCGTTCACAAGAGACAAAGCTCAATCCAGGAATAAACTGGAGAGAAAATAGTCAAACAAAACTCCACCCAATGAGGAAACAACTCAAATGGGGATTTATCCTATCCAGAGATGGAAAAGGAAAGCTAAAGCAAGATTCTTCCACGAGAGTTAACTCAGTGGGGAATTAGAAAAGAGGCGCACTTTCTGCTTAAGTTGACACTCTATTTGGAAAGATCAAATATGCTATTTGAATAGACATAACCAAGGTGTACGAACTCAATGACATCAACAAATACAACCGTGCATGCATGATGCAAGTGTGAATGAATAAATGAATGTCATGTATATGCTGACAAAACAAATAGAGGAGATAGACTGAAGATGATAAGACGTCATAGTACAGCTCGACACTCGGCTAATCTCAACAGGATGGGAACATTACTGGAGATAAAACACAGGCCATCATTGGAGCAAGGTCCTTTTACAAGGCTTAAATATCTCTGGAGAGGAAGATATTTTCAGGTAGAAAACCCAAAGTCTAGTCTTCTATTGCAAACAATCCATTGAAAGGATAACAACACAAACAAAGTTTCAGCTGGAAAGAAGTCTTGCTTAGCTGGAGATACTGGGAACACCACCCTCTGATAATGTATGAAAAACATATCTTGACAAATCTGGATTGCCCCTGGGATTAATTTTGGATGCCCCAAGTTTACTGCTGATAAGCTGCGTGATGCACGACAATTCTTGCGAATAGCTTCACCTCTAAAATGCCCCGAGCTATATGGTTGATGAGGAGAAATCGTCTCAAGAGGATTTTACAAAAGACCTGGCATTCACCATGCTCTGGTGTCTTCGAACTCTTAGAGAGATTCAATAAGTCTCGACGTGATTTCCCCGAATTGACTGTAGTTGGCACAACAAAGTCTTCAACTTTCGCCCCAATAAAGGGTAAACAAGTTGGGAAAGCATTAACTGGGAGAAGCAACATGTTTGTGCTTACGGTCTTCAGGTGACATGCCCCTGGATATGATTTTTTCTTGACGTGATCCGCCAATTATTCAACATAGTTTCAGGCCTTAAAAGAATAAACTCATCACTGGTGCTTATGTGAGCTTCCTTGACATCAAACAAATGTTTTGCAGTTAGAAAAAGTTTACAATGAGAATGAAAATTCTAATGCAACAGTTATGTAAGTCTTGAAGATTTTGAAAGATATCGCACAAATTTTGCGAGTTAAAGCACCATTTATTTTTGTATAGGAAAAACATATGATACCAACATAACTATTTAGAACATTCATGGGAGTCAGGAACACTATCTCATTGAAGTATGCTTTCAAAATAATCTTGCTTCAATTAGGACTTTTGAAGGTTGTAACGTGGTCTGGTTCATGGTTTTTAGAAAAAAGATTTTAAGGCTCAAAATATTTGGTGCCCACCCATTCTTCATGATGTTCTCCAACCCTATGTTCAGTTAATTCGACATGAGTGTTCATCTCTCAAAAGGATTTTGTGACGGTCAAGGAAACGACGAGGCTTTCGGAGTAGAAACCACCCTCATGTCTTCGTGTTTGTAGTCACCAATTTTTTCTTTGCTGAGGACTTTTCTTTGTAGTCCTTTCTTTGCAATTTTTATTTTCCCTAATTTTTGCCTGAACTAATTTTTTGAATTGATAGTCCAGCGGGATGCCTTAATTTTGCCTAAGTCACACGTTTTCATGTTTTTGACTTAGCAGGCTTTTTCTTTTTCTTGATTTTTGACTTTTTGGACAAAATGTGTGACATTAGCTTGTCTTTGCTTGTTGAGAGGATTGTGATTGCCTCGTTTCTTGATGAATGAGGGATAACATTGTGGTTCCACATCCTCTAGATTCATTATACATGAAGGATAGCCCTCGTAGTTTATCTTCAAAAAAACATCTTCCTTATGAATTTTGAACACTCAGTCAGATTAACTAAAAACTACCCTGCCCCAGGTTAAAATTCAAGGTTTTTTCGTATAGAAAAGAAACTTCTGCTTCAAAGGCTCAAAAGGGGTTAGCAAGGAATTATCTTCCTTATATCTCCAGTGTTTAGGGATTTGAAACAATGCCTGTACATCATCAGCAAGATTTTATCCAAAAGCATGCAACCAGAGATTTTGTGTTCTTTAGATCATCATCCTCCCTTCAATCTCTTCCTAGGAAAGAGAATGAGCAACAATTTGGTATCATAGTGCAAAAGCAATTTAAAATTTGAAAACAAATATGAGTGAAACGAATGAATTTCTTCAAGACAAACATACTCATTGTATTAAGATAACCATACAGATGCAAACAAGTTCTTACATGCAAACAATGTTTTGATAAACAAGAAAAAATTACAAAAAGCATAAATAAGTTAATGATCTGGGAAGGCTTTCCATCTGGTCTTGAATTACCGAAAACATCCTTCAAAAGTCAAAGTCACCCTCAATCGTGTTTACTCTTCGACGCATGCTTGATTTGAACTTCAAAACCAACGTCCTTAAATGACAAGATACCACTTCTGACCAACTTCTGAACCTCAATCTTCAAAGCAAAGCAACCCTCCAAGTCATGCCCAGGAGCACCTTGATGAAAGGTACAAGCCAAATCAGCTTTGTAGTACCAATGTATCTTCTCAGGAACCTTCGGTGGAGGTCGGGTCTGAACCAAATTCCTCTGCATCAGGATAGGGAACAACTATGTATAGGTAATTGGAATTGGATCAAACTGGGTTTTCCTCTGATTGGGAACTTGCTGATTCTGTTGATGAATAGGAGAAACATGATGATTCTGACGATGATCATTTCTTCCTCTGGTTCTCTTCTTGGAAAATTTATTATCAAACTTCTTCACACCATTAGCTGAGCTACCATCTTCATATAAACATCCCTTTCCGACATCTTCTTCTAAACGCACTCCCACATTCACCTTGTCAGGAAAGTCATTAGGTGCATTAACCATCACCTTCTCATGAGAGAATGATTTTAGAGTTTCAGTGAAGACTTTTATCATCGCTTCCTCACTCCTAGAAGGATTGACTTGGGTGGCAACCAGAATTTCAACCAAACCAGTTAAGCGCTCCATACTAGCTTTCAAAATAGTCATCTCTCTACGGAGTTCAGAAACCTCTTGCTTGATATTCTCCATTGTCCTCTTAGCGCGAGTGTTGTACTAGTGAGACCAAAGGAAAAAATAAGACTCGGAAAAAGACCTTTGAAAGTGAAACAAAAAATGTAAAATGATGTATGATATGCAAAAGAGAGTTTTTATTTGATTTTCAAGGAACTCAAGATATTAAGTTGTAAACATCAAAGTATGAAGATAGAAGATGAATTTTAAATTGGCTCCAAACATTGATCAAGTTATCATCAAGATCAATCATCCATTTTGGTGGATTAGGGTTTTCGCCCTATCAACACCCAAGATCCATTGAGCTTGACGAAACTTGTGATGTTTACAAAGAAAGACCTCCAAATTCCTTCAAAGTCAAGTAAAAATGGTTTTATGGATGCATGAATGCATGGCTATGCAACAACCACAAGCAAGGTCACAGATAAAGTCGAAAGGTTCAACGTCACGAGCATGGAGTCAAAGGTAAAGAACATCCCCAAGGTATGTACTAACGGTTTAATCACACCTGCAAGACAAGGTTCTAAGAGTTCCCGGAGTCCACATTCCTCCTTAGGATATTACCAACGTCTTGATTACTCAATAATCAGCAATATTCTCAAGAGAAACTCATCCGAGCGTAGCATCACGTGACAACTACTTCCGGATTACTCCGTTATAATCTCCGCGCTACACCTAAAAGGCCAAGATGGGTTAGGGTTCTACGGTTCCCAGCTTCTCTGGCTCCCAGGTCGAAAATAATAATGTCTTCCCGATTACTCGGTAAACAAATATTACGTTCAAAAGGGCCTTCCACTGAGTGGGGGATCTCATGCCTCCTTCTTCGGTATTACTCCCTCAAAGTTAACATGACTATACCGCCCGTCCTATTCCTAAGTGTAACTTAGTCCGGGTATAGGACTTGTCCTTTGTAAATATTATCAACACCCAAATAATCACAATATATACATATAATCAAACAATCAAATAATGATAAAACAGATAAAACAAATTAGGCTTAACCCACTTAGGGATGGACCAGCAAGAGGTCAATCTGTCCCCAGCAGAGTCGCCAATTCTGTAGCGGTGAAAATCGGAGATCAAGCTATTAATTAACTTGACTCACAAAAGCAAGAGTCGCCACCGCGCTTTATTATTTCCAAGGGGAAAGGGAAAAGAGCGAAATAAAACCCAAAATATGCAATGTAAAATAAGACTTGAAAGTAATAAAAATACAATGCGTTTTTAAAAGAGATCGAGAGTTCGGGGGTTGGTTATACAATGGGAAGGTACTAGCACCCAATGCATCTGCGGTACTCCGCATGAACCTTTTGAAATATCTGTTTTTGGTTAAAAATTGTTTGTTTGATTAAAATGGTTCGTTTGGCTAAAAAATGGGTATGGACGAGATTTTGAAGATGCGACTTCCTAGCGTCGAAGTTTTGACTTAAAAGATGTGAGTTTGAAAATGGAGTCTTTTGGGAAAATTATCTTAAGTTTGGAAAAATAGTAAACAAGCGAAAAATGAATGAGGTTATTCGCACGATTGTAGAAGACGTATTTGATGACGTGAAGTCAACAAATTCAAATCTTTTCCTTGGAGTTAAAACCACAGACAGATAAATAAGCTAAGAGTATATCAAACCTCAGGTGAAAATAAATCACGAGCCGACAGCGTCAAAAAAACCAAATGTAAGATAATACTCCCAGCAGCGAATAAAGCGCAATGAACCACAACCGAGAAGTGCAACGCGTGAAAATAAATCACGGAAAAAAAGAAATCGTGGATGACGCTCACGGTATAAGATTCCCTGCATCACATGAAATATACAGACAAAACTAACAGCATGAAAAAATTATATGCGTTCGTGCGATTTTTAGAAGTTAGTTGGAATTTAAAAAATAAAATCGCAATGCGATGAAAATAATATTTACATAACCTGAATTTATTTACAAATTAAGTGAATAAAATATATAGACAAAATATTATGAACAAATATATATTTACAATACCAAATAAAATAAAATAATGAAATACAATAAAGAGGTAAAGGGAGAAAGAAAAAGTGCAAATGCGCTGTGCGAGTATGAATACTTGAAATGAATTCTCGGAAACCTTCACAGTAACAAACACGTTAGTAGCATAAGCGGTATAAAAATGAAAATGAAATGAAATTGCAATGATCAAAATATGTGTCAGTAAATATAAAATAAAAAATGAAATTGTATGATGCATACGAATAGATGAATATTTACACAAATTAAAATCTAGAATTCATGACATTATTCAATGTAAACACACACAAAAATCAGCATTGCATACATTATTTCAAATGTGTCAAAAAGCAACTGCGTATACTCGATAAAATCAACTCAAAAGTGTTCAACAATTTAAGGTAACAACAAATAATTCCATAGACGATTTAATTCTTCAAAATCCAATTGAATCAAACTACTAGTTAGACAACAAGAAAAAACTTCGCATTGATTTAATCGAACATGCATAATGCTAATTTATCTTCAACATGCCAAATTCAACACAAACAAAACAAGATGAAATCCAGACTAGCATTCAGATTTAACTCGCATAATAATGTCATCGAAAACTTTATTCACGAATGCAACGAAACTGATAACAAAACTACAATTCAGATTCAAACAGTGTGGTAGTTTCACAAACAACAAAAGCAAAATGATATCGGGACTTACCGAAACTTGCCGAAGATGATGGAGGAAGAGAATTTGAATGGAACTTGAAGAGAGAAGCCCTTGAAAGTCCTCCAGTAGTTTGACCACCAAACTCACTTCTCCCGTGAAATTCTTTTGCTTGTGTTCGATGATAAGTCAATAAAACAAAAGCAATCATCACAGCAGCACCCACAGAAGCAAGGATAATTGCTATCCTGATATTACCCTTTGAACTATGATGTTTATTTTGAACAGTGCCTGGAGTACCAATAACAATCTGAGCCATAATAGGCGACCTTTTGGAAATTGGAATCGAATCCCTTCTGTCCATAAGAACTGCACATTCTGAGCTAATCCCTGTGTACTTCCCCATCTTCCGGAGAACTTCAATGTTATGAATAGCTAACTCTCTAGTGGGACAAATGCAAAGAGCTTGAGGAGCTTGCAAAGTCGGATCAACACGACTAAGCATCCCAAGAACAAAACAAGTGGTTTTCCCTGAACCATTATGTGCTTGAGCGATTAAATCCCTATTAGGAGGATTGAGGATCATCGGCAAGCTCACTGCTTGAATTTTGCTAGGCTTTTGAAACTTCATCTCTACATATAGTCCCTTCAGAAGCTCCGCCGATAAAGACAACTCTTCGAATGTCGCCGCCGACGTGTAAGGAGTGTCGCCGGAAGTAACCGCTTGGATGTTGGAGTCATCGGGATCGTCTAAGAACTTAGCGGAAGACTTCTTGTCTTTGTCGATGGTTAATCCATCGACGTTGAGGGTAGGTGTTTCGGCGATGGAGCTTGGGGATGGGATGGTTTCTTCGTCTGCTTGATCGGCCCAGCTTTTAGTCGTCGGTGGAGGAGAGGTGGTAGACGATTTTGCCATGATAGGGTTTTGAAGTTCCGGTGGATGGAATTTGAAGCGGTGAGTGATACTTCAGTTGGTAGTGTGAATACGAAAGGTTGCCGGAAAAACTGTGGCGTCGAAGGTCAGACGGAGATTGAGAAGTGGTGGTGATGGTGGTGATTGAGAACATGAAGAAAAGGGTGGTGTGGTGCGTGTGTGAAAATTGAAGGAGAGAGGAGTGTTGTTGTATTTTTTTGTTTGTTTTGGTACATAAACACTGGATTGAGTTTTAGGTGTTACTACTACAAGGTTGTGTTGTGGATAGAAGGGTTGAGCCTTTGGATTGAGGTTAGAAACTTGTGGTTGCATTGTGATGGGATAGGGAACGGGAATGGGAATGGGAATGGTTGAGAGAAAGAGATTATTGTTAACTTTTTGTGTTGTCCCCCCCCCCCCCCCCCCCCCCTTTGCAAAGAAAAAAAAATGCTACTTAAATAGAAAAAAAAGTGGGTTGTGTATTGAAGGTGATTTGTATCGATCCTCAATTTCATCCAACAGCCAATAGGAATCAGGCAGTGTAAACAATATTTTTTTGTGACCAAATAGCCCTTTAATGACAAAAATAAAAATAAAAACTTGAAAGTATAAAAAATAACTCAATTAAAAATTATTTTTTCGAATATTTTATGAATAAAAAATAAAGACCCAAAATGACCGAAAATAATAAAAAACGGACGAAAACTTATCCAAAAAAAAATAAAATGAACACATTAAAAATAATCTACATGTCACAAAGATTAAAGAAAACATATTCAAGAAGTCAAAAAATCAAAAATAAAATAATAATAAAAATATCAGACTAAACAAACGTTTAAGGTTAAAAACGAGACTTCGAACTGTACCGAAAAATAAAGCGAGCATACCGTCATAATCTACGCGAAGCGCGGATTCATAAAATGATCGGTAAAAGGTGAAAACTTGAAATATTTTCTTGCTACTTTCCGCATAGTGTCGAATCGCTTTTAGCAGTCTGTCTTGATGAATCAGTCTTCAAGAATCCACAATCAACCGTACTTCTGGCTTGGGAGACTCAAAACCTTAATTGAGGCGCGACACCTGATGCTCTTGATTCAGACCTGTCTCTGCACATGAAACAAAAGGAAACATGAACATACACCTTTGTATGCGATTAGAAATTAGTGACACATAGGCTCAAAATGTTCAAAACACTTGATAATCTTCGCATAGTCAAAGCTCGAAGGTGAGACGTTAAAACCGACCGTATTTCGTGACCTTGACTTATCTTAAAAAATGCAAAAATAAAAATGGGATCTTAGGTCAAAAATTTGGGTACAACAGCGGTGAACGGAGTATGAGAGCCTTCAGGAGATATGATCACGGCGCCAATGCCATTACCCAAAGCGTTTGAAGCTCCGTCAAAGTACATAGACCATCGGGATCCCTCCTTGGGTCCTTCATCCGGTCCAGGTGTTTCACAGTCGGTTACCAACATGATATTCTCATCCGGGAATTCGAAGTTCATAGACTGGTAGTCGTCTACTGCCTGATGTGCCAAATGATCTACCAACATACTTCCCTTAATTGCTTTTTGAGTCGTGTATTGAATGTCGTATTCCGTCAAGATCATATGCCATCTTGCTATTCTTTCGGACAAGGCAGGCTTCTCGAAGATATACTTGATAGGGTCCATCTTTGATATCAATAGAGTAGTGTGAGTCAGCATATACTGTCTCGGCCGGCGAGTAGCCCATGCCAAAGCGCAGCAAGTTTTCTCGAGCAACGAGTATCGGGTCTTGCAGTCGGTAAATTTTTTTCTAAGGTAATAAATAACATGCTCTTTTCGGCCAGACTCGTCATGTTGCCCCAACACGCACCCCATCGAATTATCGAGTACTGTCAAGTATAGGATCAAAGGTCTTACTTCAACTGGAGGCATCAGAATGGGAGGCTCTTGGAGATATTCTTTGATCCTTTCGAAAGTGGCCTGGCATTCATCGTTCCATCTTACCACTTGATCTTTCTTTAGTAACTTGAAGATTGACTCACAAGTAGCAGTCAGGTGCGAGATGAATCGGGCAATATAGTTCAGACGTCCCAAAAAGCCTCTGACTTCTTTTTCTATTTGGGGAGCTGTCATTTCCTGTATAGCCTTCACCTTTGCAGGATCCACTTGAATACCTTTATCACTTATGACGAAATCCAGCAGCTTACCAGATCTCACCCCGAAGGTGCACTTGTTCGGGTTTAACCTCAGCCTGTACAACTTTAACCTGTCAAATAGCTTCTGAAGATGGTTAAGGTGTTCTTCCTCCGTCTGGGACCTTGCAATCATATCGTCAACATATACCTCAATCTCATGATGAATCATGTCGTGGAACAAAGCGACCATGGCGCGCTGATACGTTGCCCCAGTATTCTTCAATCCAAAAGGCATGACCTTGTAGCAAAAGGTACCCCATTGAGTAACAAAGGTTGTCTTCTCCATGTCTTCGGGAGCCATTTCAATCTGATTATAACCGGAGAAACCGTCCATAAAGGAAAAGACCTTATGATGTGCGGTGTTATCAACCAGAACGTCGATATGAGGCAGAGGGAAATCATCCTTGGGGCTCGCCCTGTTCAGATCCTTATAGTCAACACACATTAGAACCTTACCATCCTTCTTCGGCACTAGAACTACTTTGGCCACCCACTGTGGGTAAGAAGTAACTTCTAGAAAACCGGCATCAAACTGTTTCATAACCTCAGCCTTGATTTTCTCAGACATCTCTGGGCGCATTCGACGAACTTTCTGTTTCACTGGAGGACAATCTTCCTTGGTAGGAAATCGGTGAACAACAATATCAGTATCCAACCCAGGCATATCTTCATAAGACCAGGCAAAGATCTCGACGTAGTCACGCAGCATCTGAATCAACCGTTGCTTAACACTGGCTTCCAGATTGGCACCGATCTTGACCTCTTTCTTGTCTTCCTTTGTACCCAGATTTACTGTTTCTACTGGCTCTTCATGCGACTGTATAGCCCTCTCTTCCTGAAGTAACAGTCTAGCAAGTTCACCAGGCACTTCACAATCATCCTCACCTTCGTCCTCGGCTTGGTTGATCATACTTTCGAAGTCATAACCGGCAATAGCAGAATCGTTATCAGTGGGATCCAGAATGGATATGGACCTGTATATGTGAGTGTGTATAAAATAGTTGTTTTGGAAGATAGAAAAAGAAAAACAAGGAACGCAAAATTTGAAATGCAAGAAACGTCCAATGCTTTTATTGATGATATATGGAGATGACACATAATAAAACCCTCACAAACAAAGCCACGGTGTCTCGGGTAAGGCACCGGGCCGTAAAGTTAAAAATTGTCTGTTACAAATTCAAAACAAAAGTCTCATTACTGGGTAATATAAGAAACTGACATAGAATCCTTCATTGTCCAATTTCTCAATCCATCGTCGGTAGTCGGGTAAATCCAACTGTCAATGTCAAACTCTTCATCATTATCATCCTCGATAGCATTCACTCCCGCATCATGTTTGGGCATAGGTGCCGTTATGACATTAGGCTTTTCCGGCGCTTCAAACTCAATATCCTTAGCATCAATCATATCTTGCACCTTACTCTTTAAAGCCCAGAAATTATTGGTATCATGCCCCGGGCTATCAGAGTGATAAGCACAATGGGCGTTTGGATTGTACAGCGGTGAGGTGGTGTTTGGATTCTTCGGGGCTTCCCTCGGAATCACCAAGTTAGTCTTCAACAGTTGTGGCAGAATTTGAGATAAAGACATGCTGAGCCGAGTAAACTGTCTTTGAGGCCTCTCTGCTCTTGGATGATTGTTGCATTGTGTGGAAACAGTTGGTCTTGAAATAACTACCGCGTTAACAGCTTGGTGGCGCTCGGGTCGATTATGGCTCTTAGAGCTGTAAAGTGCACTAGACTCCTTTTTTAAGGGTTTCTTCTCGGCACTTGACGAAGCACCTTTTTGTAACTTACCGCTCTTGATACCGGCTTCAACTCTTTCCCCAGTCATAATTAACTCAGTAAAACTTGACGATGAACTTCCGATCAAATGGTTGAAATACAGACTAGACAGGGTCCCCAAAAACATATCCACCAACTCCCTGTCAGCCAAAGGGGGTTGGACCCTACCAGCAAGATCTCTCCACTTCTGAGCGTAATCTTTAAAACCTTCGCTTGCACCCATAGACATACCTTGAAGTTGGGTACGCGTGGGAGCAAGGTCGGCATTATATTGGTACTGCTTGTAAAAAGCAGCAGCAAGGTCCTCCCAGTTACGGACACTAGCTCCTTCTAGCTGATAGAACCACTCAAGTTGAGTCCCTGAAAGACTATCTTGAAAGAAATGGATCCAGAGGTTCCTGTCAGTGGTATATGGCTGAATCTTTCTAACATACAAACGGAGGTGTAGCTTTGGGCAGGAGACCCCGTCGTATTTAGCAAAGACTGGTGCTTTGAACTTGTGGGGAATCACCACCCCAGATGCCAAACCTAACTCACCAAAGTCCAATCCAGGTATCTTCTGGATCTCCATCGCACTTAACCGGTCTTCAAGCTGCTTATACCTATCCTCAGCAGGAGGATACTGGTCTTTATCAAAGTCAGTCTCGTTGTGAGAAACCACAGGGCTAGGAGCCCTCCTTTCTTCTTGGTTTTCTCTCCCTTCAGGTGAGTGAGATAAATCAACATCTTCCCGTAGATTGTTCCCGAATCTGCGACCCATATTCAGGAGGACCGTCTTCTTCTTCTTATCCTTCAAGATAAGAGTCTTCAGATCTTGCTGACCCTTGGCCAGGTTCATGAACATTTCCTGGAACTGAGCATTTTGAGCTTATAGAGCCTTAATAGCTTGATCAGTGGATGTTTCAGCAGACATGATGCTGAAATAAATAGCGAAGAAGATAAGAGACCTGTAAGGGTACCTATGATGAGGTGCATGGGAACGAAATGTGTATGATATGATTTCAAAGACGTTGAGAGATTCAAATTCGTGAACCA